CCCAAGCCAACCAACGTCGCCGAACTGCTCAGATCCGAGAAAACGGAAGAAAACCGAAAAAGAGGGGCTGTCAAACGTGTTTACAGATCCAACTTGCGCGGCTTCGCCGCTCCAATGAAAAACGGACGGGTGCGAGCATCGGACCTTAGTGCGTATCTGTTTTGAGTGGGACTCCTAAACCAAACAACGTCGTCGAACTGCTCAAATCAAAAAGAAGAGAAACTAAACAGGAACTGCCCGGTCAAGCATGTCTCCGGACTCAATTTGCGTCGAATGTCTTTGCGACCAGACGTACACTCACACACACACAGAGAGAGACACAGAGAAAGAGAGAGAGAGAGAGACACAGAGAAAGAGAGAGAAAGAGAGAGAGAACGAGAGAGATAGAGAGAGAGAGAGAGAGAGCGAGAGAGAGAGAGAGAGAGAGAGAGAGAGCAAGAGGCAGCCAGAGGGATTTCCAACAAAAGCGAAGCCATCCCAAAACAGGTCTGTCCAAACTTTCGGAGTCCCCCCATTCAACCGTGACACCCTTCGCCAACCTTCGTCCCTTCGCCCCACGCCACGTGCCTTCCCCAGCAGCTCGCTCAGGTTGCTGCCGGCCTCGTGCAATTCGGCAAATCAACAGCCCCCAGGTGGAGCCAACAGTCAACCCCATATCTAGACGTGGCTGAGCACCCCATGTAGTGAAAAGAACATCCTCCTGGCTTCTGTGGTTTCTCTTTGACACACTCATAAGGGTCTCATTGGGTTTAACGAGCCTCCTCTTAGTGTCTCTGGCTTCTCTTTCACACACACACACACACACACATACAAGGATCTGTTTGTTTGAATCAGCGTTGCTCAGCTCCAGTTCATGCAACCAAATAGCCGATTGGAGGACGTCGGAAAACCGTCGTGCTCCCATCGGACCAGCGAAAGCCAGCCATCCTTAACTTGGGCTGCTTAATGCCGAATTTGAGCTCCAACCTATCTGCCAATCACAAAGTGAAAACCGGAAAATGGTTCTCTCTTTTTGAGGGTGCACTTTTTCGGGTTGGTTTAAAGGGAAATCACTTATTTCGGGGGAGTGCCTTCAAAAAAGACAAACCCAAATAGGAATTGGTTGCCCCCGGACCATAGTGAGCTCGTTTCACCTTCAGGACCTATCCCCCCAAACCTAGCTTGCGCGCACCTACTGCAAGCGATCGAGAGGTCGGCATGCGGAAATCCTTGCCAAAGCAACGCTGGAACCGTGCAGAGGAATCTGCTTTTCGGGGATCTCGTTGTTGGCTTCATGCGAATCTGCAGAGAAAACCTGTCGCCCACCCCCTTTTTGGATGATTCTACGGGACACTCGGCTGAAAGCAGGTCTGCTCGTCCAGACGAAAACTTCTGTTGCAATGAACCGCCGCTCTCTTGAAGGTCGGCCAGCGGTGTCGAACAACCAAAAATATGGAAGGAGCACCACCGTGTTGTTTGTTGGTTTCCTTGGTTTTTTTTTGCGGGGGGGGCCTCGTGAAAGACGCACAGACGCACTCATAATCATAAATGCTGCTGCTGTTCCTTTCGGTTTCCAGAAAACCCGAAACGGGCACCCGAGGAACAAACAAAACACTAAAACACCGACGTTCGACCGAAACTGACCCAAACGCCCCGCCTGTTCGATGCTGCCCTCTGCCTCATGCGCGCTGTGGATGGTTGCAAAATCCGTTCGCACCACGTTGAGATGGTTGAAACCACATCGAATCCTTCCAGCGCTTAACTGTCTCACATGGAAGTCCTGACTAAAGGGTCCATGTTAGAAGGCCATGTTCCTTCAAATGGACCCTGAGGTGGCTTCCGTGTTAGTGGAAATAAGAGTAAAGCAATGTGGGTGTGTGCGCGTGTGCGCGTGGTGTGCGCCTGTGCGCGTCTGCGCGTCTGCGCGTCTGCGCGTGTGCGCGCGCGCACGTGCACGCGTATGCGCGTGCGCGTGTGCGCGTGTGCGCGTGTATGTACACAATCATACACACTCGTTTGAATGCCCGTTAAAGTGCAGGAGCACTCTAGACGCCCAATGCAAAGCAGGGGTTGAACCCGCAAAATCAAGTGCCTCTTGGGTAGAAAGTTGGCAAGGCAACAAACGACAAACGCTCACTTTTTGCTTTGCCGTCTATCTCTGAAAAGGGCCACCAAAGGGTTGTTTTGTGGTGGTTTCGCTTTAACACCGTTCCCAACTGCAGCCGCTACTATCTGGTTCGCGATGATCATTCGCCAGAGCCTTCCTTTCCAGGGCGTGTTTGAATTGCATTACATGCTCCCACCACGCCCCGCTGCCTTCGTTTTATCAGACCCAGGCAAAACCGAAGGATCTGAGCGCCCACGCCATCAGCAAGCCTTGCTCTCCGCTGCCTGCATCCTCGGGATCTGCGTTCAACGAATATCGAAATCCAACCTAAGCTTCCATTAGCTTGAGCCCCCTGGAAAAAATGAAAATCTGTCCCGTAGTGATAGATTCCATTTACAACCAAGAAGGGCAGGAGAACGTATTCTTAAGCAAATGGAAGCAAGTCATCCAAGTCCAATCTGCAGTCTGAGTCCAGTCTATGTCCACCAGTCCAAACCTGAGCCGCCGACCAGCTGGGAACCTTCTCGGTCGCTTTCTGCCTGCAGAACACCGCCGGATAGCTCGCCAAATCCCCGATAACCCGCCACATCGGATCCCGAACATGGAACCGTCACATCTGCGGCTTCTCCAAGGCCAGGTTCCCTGGCCTGTTCGGCGAAGGCCGCAGGGCCGCTCTCCAGACCCTTGCTGCCCTGCGATGCCTTGTCGCGAGGGCCATGAAAACTTGAAGAGAGCCTGGCCTCACACTCTCCACGTGTCAAAATTCGGGAAACATGGCGGTGTCCTTGTTGGTGTCCCTTGAAGCCAAGCTTAAACTGGCGCCCAAAAAGACACGCGCCCACACACACACAAGTACAAATCTCAGATTGATGAGTGGGGGGGGGGGGGGGCATTTTATTTTAGTTTAGAGAATACGCAGTTCTCAAGGAGATGCACCCTATCCACCAGGTTGATTCCGGAGTCCACATTGCTTACACACCCTCAGGCTCGTGCGATTTGCGTGCCTGGATCGCCCACGCTAGCGTCCTGGATCGGCACAGCGCATACGGCTATGGACTTGCGCACCAGTTCTTCTGCGGTACATGACGGTGGCTTGAGCGCTGACTCAGGGAATATTCGAATCAGATCTGGACTCATGAGTCAAATCTTGGTCCAGTCTGGCACCAAAGTTCTGCGTCCAATCGCACTCGAGTTTGAGACCCAGCCCCAAATCTAACCTAAGCTGCCAAGTCCATGAGTCTTATCTCAGCTGCCGGCAAGCTGGGAGCCTTCTCGCGCGCTCTCTGTCTCCTGCAGTCTAGGCAGAAGGCGTGACACCACCCCGAAGCACCAGAAACCGCAACAAAACGCACAGCTCAGCGGCGCCTGCACTCCATCCATGGAATGCGCAAAGGCAAACACCTGCTACTGTTGCTTACACACCATGCAAAGAAGCATTGCAGACCTGTAAAGGCCTGGGAACAAGCCAAAGCCTGACGCCACTGCGTGCCCTGCATGCAGGCATTTGCGATAGCGCGCAGCAGGCTGAGGGGTATGTCTGCGTCTGTCGGCATGTTCCCAAAAGCGGTAAGGCACGCTGCACTGCTTCCCTCGAAGACATGCCATGCGTGGCTCCAGGCATGGTGGCATGGTCTGGAGTACAGCGAAAGCCAGCTGCCACTTGCAACGGAGGTACGCGCTTTCTAAGGCCAAGCGCAAGAAGAAGAGTGACACCCAGCCCAAGCGGAGATTGTCACGTCATTCTCGCAAGACATGTAGTCACCCCAACCCCCCCCCCCTTCAAGGCCACCCGCCTCCGGCTCGCTCTGGGCCGAGGCGTCGGACGCCTCGCGCGAGCTTTTCTCCATCGCGGAAAACCTAGCCCCCCCTCCCCCCCCCAACCCAACCCACCGGGCCTCCTTAGGAGCCTGAATGGTAGGGAGCCTGAATGGCCATCCCCATGTTTGGAGGAAAGAGTCAGGAAGAAACCGTCCTTGTGGGCGCCATGGAGGTAGACCCGTCTATGTTTCCACCAGACGGCGCCATTGATGGCCATCGTCCACGGGCGCAACCAGGTACTGCTGGGGTAGGCGCCCCATATGTATGTATATATATATATATATTTATTTATTTATTCATTTATTTATTTATATTCATATTCATATTTATATTTACATGTATCCAGAGAGAGAGAGAGAGATAGATCTATATACATATACACATGCTACCCTCCCTGCCTCCCGGGACCCACCTTGAAGATGCAAAGCAGATCCTTCAGTTTCAGAGGCCTTTGACATAATGATCAAATATGTTCTTAAGAGGGGGCTGAAAGGAATTTCAATTTAATATTGAAATATATTCTGTACACATACAAAGATATAACATTATATATATATATATATATATCTGTATATATTGGGTAAAACTGCTGGCGCTGAACCAATCACAAATCCTCCACTGGCAGGGCAGATTGAACCTTGCAGTCTGCGCATCAGTTCACCAAACGACACCCGCAGTTCCGCAAGTCCAAGGCTCCTTGGTAGATCCGACGCCTGGCCTGTCTCAAAACAGAAAAACCCATGGCTGAGTAGCACCCTTTTTTGGTTGGTTTTAAAGCGAACCCAAAAGGAAACCACCCAATTCCCCCGCCTCCCCAATTTCAAGACGCCCAATGAACACTCACCTGACCTTATCCGTGTTCAGGCCGGTCTCCAAGCCATTCTCCTTGCTGCCCTGCGATGCCTTGCAGAGATTTGCGCGCATCCAATTCCAGGGGGAAGTCAGCTTCCCTCTATTTGGTGATTGGAGTGGCTTCCCATTTACCCTCTACAAGAACCAGGGGTTCAGGCGGAGAGAACACAAACAAACGCCAGTCCGACACACCCTGAGGCCCCCGCAACTACCACTTGCGTGTCCTCTTCCGCACTGGCGGCTGTCACTTGCGCGTCCTCTCCGACGCTGCCAGCTGCATCCTGCAGTGCTAGGCAGAGGCACACTTCGGCCGCAACGGCCAGACATATGCCTGGGCAAGCTTTGGCGCGTATCAAGTAGCTGTCCCTTCTTGGCTTGGTCCTTCCTCCAAATACTGGGGTTTTAAACCAAGCACTCGGTTCATTGTCCAAAGAGGGCTAGCTGACTTGCTGAACGACCCACGCCACAGTACCCATGCCAAGCGCCTTGACATCCTCCGCGGTTTTGGATGCCTCACGGAGACACTGTGACACAATCCATGTGGTGTAAAATTGGGGGGACCCCTAACATGAAGGTGTTCCTTTGAGTTTGAGTTCCTCTTTACATACGCCAAAAATTGGGGACGTCACGAAGGTCTCCTTTTTCTGTGCAGCTACATGCTGCCCAGTGGCCACAGTTTTGGTGGCATGGTTCCCTCTCCGAGTATTGAGATTATCGAAGACCTGTGACAACGAATGCCTGCGTATGATCATCAACGTCTGATAACTGCCCCTTCACATGGACACCCAACAAAAAATGTCTTCTGCCAACAGTTGGCAGAAGATCCCACAATGATATGGTTCTATGCTAATTGTCGGAAAAGATAGCTCCATTTCGCAAATATGATCTCATGGAAGTGGAAAAGGGGGCCTCATTAAGATGATGGTAGCCTTCCAAAACTCTTCGTAGCACTTCCGTGACTTGCTAAACCCTTTGGGTGACCCTTGCACACAGGATGGTCCCTTGGTGCAAGCTTGGGCCCGTTTGCTGAACCCTGCAACTCATCCCCAGCCTGCGATTCGCGCGATCCGCGTGATCCGCGTGATGCGCGTGATCCGCGAGGCGACCCGGCCGGCGCGTTCGCCATCTCCTGACATGGAAGCCGTGTGTGCGGAGCCTCCAGCTTGAATGGGGGCGAGGATTTGCTTTTTGCAGAGTAATTAGCCTTTTGGGGTCTGGAAGGGCAAGGGTGCCTAAGACACGCGCACATAGAGGGTCGTGGAAAAAAAAAAGGGAAAGCCCCTCCTATTGGCGAGCAACAAGCAACATCAGAGGAGTAGCAAACCAACATCAGACAAAAAAAAATGAGAAAGCCCCTCCTATTGGCGAGCAACAAGCAACATCAGAAGAGTAGCAATCCAACATCAGAACTGAAAATGAGCATCGAATGCCAAAAATATTATATTAAAAGGAAATCCATGTCAGTGTGTAAGGAAGAACATATCCGACCTTATCTGCTGGATTCGCATGATGGCCCCTACCTTTCAACACTGACAGTGCGACTACGTGCTGACGTATGGCCACAGTTTTGGTGGCACGTATCCCTCTCTAGGCATTCAAATTTCTCGAAGGCCTGTAACAACACATGCCTGCGTATGCTCATCAACGTCTGATGACTGCCCCTTCACGTGGACCCCAAAAAAAAACTGCCTTCTGCCAACAGCAATCATACGGTTCATCTCATGGAAGTGGAGAACGTGTCCCCTGAACCCTGCAACTCATCCCAGCCTGCGATTCGCGCGATCCGCGTGATCCGCGTGATGCGCGTGATCCGCGAGGCGACCCGGCCGGCGCGTTCGCCATCTCCTGACGTGGAAGCCGTGCGTGTGCGGAGGCTGGGGAAGGATTTGCCTTTTGCAGAGTAATTGGCCTTCTTGGGTCTGGAAGGGAAAAGGTACCTGAGACCCGCGCACATAAAGGGTTGCAAGCTAAAATTGGGAAAGCCCCTCCTATCGGCGAGCAACAAGCAACACCAGAAGAGTAGCAAACCAACATCAGAACCGAAAATCTGCATTCAAGCCAAATTGTTCTCATAAGAGGAATCATCTTTCGGGATGGAAACCCCTTTTAGGAATCCATGTCAGTGTGTTAGGATGGACATATGGTATCTTATCTGCTGAATTCGCAGGATGGCTGCCCCTACCTTTCATTTTGTGGCAAGTTGAATGTCCTCTTGAAATGGGTGTGTCCTTTTTCGGGGAACCCTCCTTTCGGATAACTTTAATGGACCCGATTTTGAGAGAAGCCCAAGTGGGCTCCCATCGCCCAAGTCGAACGGCCAAATCGGGCGGGGAGCGCCCAGGACATGGTCCAGCGGTGGCCGCCAACGAAGCCAACATCAGCTGCCTGGGGAAAAGAAAACGACCGCAGCCCGGTCTGTCGGACGATCGCGAGGCTCTTTGCAACCTGCGCTGTGTTTGTGGGTGTGGGTGCTTTTGTGGTGCCAACAAGTTGAGTTGTTTTGAGGCGAAATCAAAAGGAAACCACTCATTTCGGAGGTCTCTCTTTTGGCAAACACACACAAGCACAAACACAAGGCCCCAAAAACCAACGGTTCTCTGATGTGTCCCTGGCTTGTACCAATACTACTTTGGGGCCCACTAAAGAACGGCGCTGAAATTCGCTCGAGGCTTCAAGCAGAGAGTCCGAGGTTCCAGTAGCTGTTTTGTCAGTCCTGGGGAGTCAGTGGTCATAGAATTTGGGAAAACCGAGGCGAGTGGCCTTTCACATGCTGCTTCTCACAACTTGCAACCTTACGGTCAGCTGCGAAGCGGTACTCAAAGCCTTTTCAATGAGACTTGGGGGTTCGAAGGGCGTTGGCTTCAGCCTGTGCAACAGCACAGGGGGAATGTCTAGCCTTCTCAAGTCTAACCTATTGCTATGCGTCAAGAAAGTATGAAGGATAATGTTGGGCACATCAAAAAACTTACAAAAGTCCGTCACCCAACCACCACCAAGCATACTGCAATGTAAACCACCATCTTGTCACCATGTAGCCACAAAAACAAGTAAGAGTCACATACACTCTTGGCAAACAAGGATCAAATCTTGGCACCTGAGGACCCAGCTGCCACATTCGTCTCCACGACACCGCGTGGCTCTGCCTCCTGCGTTTTTGGAGGCGGAAATCCTATTGTGGATGGACGAAATCATTCCGAACTGCCGTTCAGAAACCCTGGTTTGGGATGGTTACCCTGTAAATACCAACAGTGACAATGGTTTCAACTATGGTTTCGAAGTAGTGCGAAAGGATTTCGCAAACATCCATGGCGGGCCGTTTTTTTCTCTGGGTTTTGTAGGTGCTGAAACGACGCATTTCACGGCATGTGCTTAAAACAAGCGCACCTGCATTGCAACAGCACCGTCAACATTCCCGGCATCGTTTCAACACTCCCAGCATCACCAGAAGCTTTGGGTTAGATTGAGTTTGGGGTGGGGTCAAGGATTGCCTTGGGTGGGTTTCGGCGGGGCTTGGGTTTCTATACGCTGTGTTCACGGTTGGTCTAGGTTGGCTAGGGAAGGGTTAGCGTTGGTTTAGTGCTGGTTAAGGGTGGGATTACGATAGGTTTGGGCTGGCATAGGAATGCAATCCTGCTGGTTTAGTGTGGGTTTCGGGCGGGTTCAGGGTTGGTCCGGCTGGGCATAGGGTTTGTGGTTGTGGTTTGGGGTGGGTTACAAACACTATCCTGGCAGTGATGCTACTAAGGGTTGCTGGTGATGCTGAGGATGTGGAAAGCCAAAGCTACAAAAACCGCGAAAACCAAAAAAGCGCTGACTGACCGACTGGCCAACGACCGACGACCCGGCACGCCAAACCTAGGCGGGAAAAACTGGGGGCCCGGTTTTGGATTGTTTCCGAAAAGACTTGAACACAGGTCCTTCATTGAAATGTCTAGCCCTCTGGTAAATGACTACAACCCAACTGAATCCATTGTCGTGTATGCCCTAAGCTGAGCTAAAAGGCCATGCTCGTAGGAGACCCCACCTTGAATTCTAAATTTGGACCCTACCCATGCAGGCGGTAGAGTCTTGCCTCCCAAGGTCACTCAAGACCCACTCGAAACCACGTCACGGAGGGCCTACGCTCATGTCACATGTCTTGTCCGAACGGCAGGGGGGACCACGGCGTTGAACCACTGCTTACCGGGTCCTGGACATTGCTTGCAACAACTTAAACTTTTAGTGGAGCATGGCTTATTGATGGCGTACGAAAGGAAAGTGGACAGGGGATAAACCGTCAGACGAGAGAAAGGAGATGACCTAGGATTAACTCTCCCTTTCCCGTCTCCCTTCCACGCCTAACTCTGTTTCCGTCCCTCCAAAAGTCTAAAGAGTCTTACCGGTATGGCTGGGAACCGAAGACCAGGAAGTCATATTGTCAGCTGGCATCCGGCCGCTCTGGCAATGGCACCGAAAGGTGCTTTGGGAAGAAAAATCAGTTACGCTTCTAGCTTACTAGAAGAAAACTTGCTCATGGCTCATGGTTGTCCAAAACGGTTGGAATAAGACTTTTGCCAAACTCAGGAGTACCACCATGCTTCGACAAACATATGGGTGTTGATCAATATTCTCTTTGGTCCCCAAATGACCACCAAATGACCACGGGAAGCTTTTCCCATGTTGGAAACATCATCTTGTAGTTTCCCAACCATTTGTTTATCCCGTGTTTACCAGAGCATTTGATGTTGGGGTTCATGGCGCGGCGCGGCCACAAAATACCGACTCCTCCAGCGCCAACGGGGTGTCCGACACCAGCAGCAGTGCTTGGGCCATCTCGTCTGACAGCGCCTGCACCAAAGCGGCCCAAGTTCCAAGGGGGGAGTGGAGAGGGAGGTGGGGGGCGAGGAGTTGTGTGGAGTTGGGGTGGAGTTGGGGGGGGGGGGAAGTGCCTTGGTCAACCCACTGAGACGTGATAACCATAGTTTATGTCCGGCTGTTGTGCCTTGGATGTTTGCTTTTTTCATCGCAGACGCGTTGGTCAGCGCGAAATGAGCTGAGCATCGTATCTGCTCTTCTCCTCTTCCACGTACTGTTGAAGCCAAGGGCGGTATACAAACCAGCCATAGATGGCGAAGAAAATCACCACAATGCTGGAGATGCCGGCAGACACCGGCAAAGAATATGGCAGAATTCCGGTGAGAATGCCACCACAGCACATTGCCTGCGCAGCGTAGGCTGGAGCGGTGCACCATATCAACTTGTTCCGGCTGGGATTCAGCCGATACAAGTAGCCATAGGCCATCCGGGCCAGAACCCAAACAATGCCACAGACTCCAGCAAAGTTGGCATCCAGCGCAAAGGAGCACACCCACATGGCCAGGAAAAAGGCCCAAGCCTGCTCCACCTGGTTTTGTTGCGCACGCAACGCTCGAATAAATGGCTCCAGCTGCCTTGGGTCATTCAGCTCTGTAGTGAAGGGATACTTGAGTTGAAAGGGTGTTCGAGCAGCCCCAACGGCAAACGTGTCCACGAAAACGAAGTGCAAGACAAACACTGCCGTGACAGCACAGGGCAGCTCAAAACCGTCGATGGCCATGCCGTTCAACTGGGCCGAGCGTGAGACCTACGCAGAGCCCGTGGCTTGAGACAAATGGCTTGGATGGCGAGGTCCGGTAAGGTAGATGACCATTGCTATATGTCCAACCATACCGTGTAACCATACCCGAAAGGTGGGACTTCTCCGAAAAATGAAACACAGCCAATCGGCTGCGACCTCAATGGCTTTGCCGAACCAAATCGTTTGGTTAGAACAAAGACACACGCAAAGACCTCCCCACGACAACCCCCCTCCGCTTTTGAAACCTGAGCAACCCGTCGCGCTCCAAGCCCTCCTCGCCCCTTTGGCCAGCCTCGTCGATGGCCTCCCACTGCTTCTCCGAGAGAACCTTTTGCGGCCTGGCGTTTGAGGGATACAAACCCAAGAAGTGTTTTGCGGCACTGCTCAGCGGCTCCAAACCCCCAAATTTCGTGGATTAGAAGGGGGCTGCTAGGGCCCCGAGGGCATCTAAGGGGGGGATTCACGAGCCAAAGGGAGGCTTGGTGGGGCCAAACGGACCTTGGCAACCCCTCCTGGTAAGAAAATCACCGCCCACCGGACTTCAGCTTGGGTCCGTTCGAAGTCTGAGCTGAAAGGCGATTCGTATGCATGATTCCCGGGAATGGTTGATGGGAGGCCGATGGGCACGGGTAGGTTCTCGCACAAACCGACCTCATTTCCCTACTCAGACCAGGCGACTGGACCCCTAACAAATGTGCGCAGAGCATTTTGCAAGGCTGGCAGCGGAAGTCGGCATCCAGCAAAACATAGATTCAAAAGATATCTATATGTACGATATAGATGCGATTGTGCCAACCCCTATCAACACAAACCAGAAACCAAATGCAGCCGACAAATGCCTAAAAGCAATTCCATCAGTGGACTTGCTGTGTTTCGAATCTGCAGAAGTCCCTCAAGAATGCAAGAAACTGCGTTTAGTCACAGCAGCCTCGCTGTCCGCAGTCGCAACTTACTGTTAGTGGATATGGAAAATAAGAGAGAGAGAGAGAGATATACGACATAGATATACATATAGAGAGAGAGGGAGAAAGAGAGATAGAGAGAGCGAGAGAGAGACCGCGCGCGCATCTCCCATGTCCCTCCCAAATGGGGGTGTCATTTTTGCCAGGTGCCGTTTTTGCGTCGGGGGAAATCAAAGGGAGGCCCAGCATTTGAATCCCGCTTTCCTGACGGCCAAATGGGTCCCGCGCCAAGTGCTGGTCAGTGCCTCAAGCCATGGATTCACCCGTGCGGTGCTGAAGTCCCCTTCGGTTGCCCACACCCAAACCGGGAGGACGTCTAAAGAACAAGACATCTGATTGAATTTCAGGACATACCCTCCAACCCTTTTCACATGGAAGACGATTCTCCTTTTAAAGGGGTTGGGTTTCTGTCAGGCTCCATGTTAGTTGGTTGGATGGTACTGTGAAAAGAAGTGTTGGTCAGAATTTAACCTTGACTTGCCTGAAGCCTGGAAGCCGCTCGGCTTCAAGCAACGCACATCGCAGGCAAGCTGAGGGTGAATGACAACTCGGTTGAGGAATCGATGTCCAGCTGAGGGAGCTGCAGATCTCCAAAAAACGACCAACATCCCTGCATAAGAGGGGCACAGCCTCAAATGCGGGTTGTTCTCTCTTCAAAGGAGTTCCTTGAGTGAAGGGAACCCTTGAAAACAACCCTTAAGTGTCTCTGAGGGAACCCTTCAGGAATCCGACCAGTGAGTCTTCTAAACGGGGAAACCCTTCTTAAGGTTGGTTCAAAGGACGACCAAAATCAAACCAACCAAAACTTTGTTTGTTCCGTGTTTGGTTGGTTCAAAGGGAGACCCAGGGGCAACCAACCAGGGCTTTGCTCTTCTTCTCTTTCTTCTTTGGGGGGCGGGCGGAGGTCCTCAATTCTGAGCCAACCCCATCTTGAGGTTCCGAGATGCCAAGGCCCCAGCAGCCGTCATCGCATTGCCTGGCTGAAAGCGCTTGGTCCCGAGCAAATGTAGTATGTAGTTGTGTAAGGCTACCTTTTGGTTGCTTTGGAGGCCCCTTTAAAAAGACACGCCCATGGGCCCCAGGAATTCAAGGCCAATTGGGCGTTGTAAAACTAGGGAGTTCCGGCCTATGTCTGAGGCAACCCACTTTTGCGGGGTTCCACGGCCGTGTGTTTTGCCCCGAACGGCTCCAAACGGAGTGGGCAAAATCCCCCGTGTTCAGATGACCTGTCGCCTTCTGCCATCAACTGCTGGCTGCGCGCGTTGTTGTTTTTCGCCCAGGAAAAAACCATGCAATTCTTGACAACAACATGCCTAAAAGTTGCTGGGACAAAACGGCAGGCGACATGGCCCGTGCCAAGCCATGCACAAAACACAGAACTACAAACGGAATTCCAGGGGGTACCAGGCGCGTGGAATTTCAGGGGACCATGTCCAATTCGTCCCGAGCCTTTGGTGTCCAGCACCAAAATCGTGGCCGGGCCGTACCGGTGGATGTGCCACTCCTGGCGCGCAGAAAGCGAAACTGCGAGTGGGCATGGGTCGAAAAGAGAAAATGGGTATGGATCAAAATTCAACCACCAGGGGACCGGGATTTAGTCCTCGTGTCTTACCAGAGTTCCATTTTGGATAGCTATTTAACCCACAGCCAAATGGATCCACCACCGCCTGGCTGGTGATTGGAAACCTCAATGCTGATTGACAAGTGGGTAAATGGTCAACCCCCCTGCTCTGCCCTCTGAATCACGCGGCAAAGACCCAGCCGAGTTGGCGTGATCAGTGCACCAGAGCTGTAGGTCACCCCCTACTTGTTTGCTCGTCCCTTAAACCCAGCCAGCTGGTGGTTTTCCTTTTGTTGTCCTCCCCAACCAATGAACAAAGCATCGAGCCGGAAAAAAACACAAAGTACACCTGCCCTTCCAGGAAGACTATTTCCTTTCGGGGAAGGTCCGCATCATCCACTTCCAACCATGGAAAGAAACAGACATGGAACGAAACAGCCCGGTTCCACTGAAGGTATTGCTTTCATCACGCTCAACAAATTCGCGTACTCTGCTGCTGACTCCCCAAATCTTGTGAGCAATGTAGCGACCCCTGTCCCCCCAGTCCCCCCAAAACGACCGCAGGCTGTGCTCCCATTGCCTCCACGGAGTCCGCGATCGCGCCGGCGTCCACCAAGTACCTCGGGGGTCCCATCCGACGTGTCCCGATTGAGGCGCGGTGGTTTTCCCCGTGCTTAGCTTGGCTTTAAAGGAAAACCAATGGGAAAAACACTGGACAAATAGATGGGCGTGTCCAAGAAAAACAGGAAGCACTGCTTTGTGAACGTTGAAACGGAAGTCAGAGAAGAATGCCGGTCAAGTTCACATGTTCTCGATTTTAGGACACACGGTTTGCAAACGCTTGTTATCATGTCCAAACTCACCTGAAAGGACACCTATGCGATCCTGTTGCTGGCACCAAAGAAGTGATGAGTTTAATCAGGCACCCCTTGGTGGACACCATTTACATTTGGCATGCAAGTTTATGTGCGCCAACCAATCTTGAGGGCAGCCCGGCCCAATGCAATGATGCATAGTGCCCTGCCAAGCCCCGAGCTGGTCGGCTATTTGTTGCTCTGGAAGAGAAGAGAAGAAACCTCACTAGACTACTAGACCTGAACCCATGGTTCCCTTTGCATTTCCTGGATTCAAGGCGAACGTGTACCGATGTACCGATGTTCATGGCGAGGCAGAATAAGCGCGTCCTCCTTCCCAGCTTCATGGGCTCACCAAAATCCTGTCCCTTGCCAAACTTGTAATAAGATGTCATAAGAAACTGCATGTCCCTCAAAAAATCCGCGAGTTTCGGATCTCAACCCGGGCCCATGTACCAAGTCAAATCGGCAAGGCTGATCCGAGTGCCCGGCTCCAAGCCGGCCTCATCTTCCTGAATGCGCAGCCGCTCCCACAAAAAACCGCGGGTCTTGGGGATTGTCTTATTCAAATACGTGGAACCTCACGAGGTCCTGAAAAATGTTTTTTGTAAGGGACCCCCTGTTGGGTTCCATGGCAACATGGACTGAGGCTTTACAGTTCGGTTCAATACTTTGACTGATTCTAGGGGCTTGTTTGACACTGTTGGAGTCATGAGTCGATTTGAGTAGATACTTGTGTAGACTATGGAAAAAGAAGCGAGCCTCACTGAAAATCAGGGGTCAGTAGGAGGGTACAATCCGAACCCATGTTGGTCACTTGTCATCCCCTTTACTTGCCCAAGGAATTTGTACCATCTGCTTTCACTCTAGTGTGCATCAAACAAATTATTAACTTGAGTGTTGCATGGCAATTACCCAAAGTAAGGGAAGTGAGGAGAGTGGGGAACAATCATTGGGAGCCTAAGGCTCAAGAAGCCTTTCGTCACGGTCCCTGATGGTTGACATGAATCTTCGGGCCTGCGTCTGCATTGGGCTGACACGTGTCTGAAAAATAGGAAAAATGTCAGTGGTAGATGGTTGGAACAGCACATGCAACAAGTGCGGTTGGCACATCTTCGCCCCTTGGCGTTGCTTCCCAAGTGGGGGAAGCAGCATTTTGGCTACAGCTCAGCCAGCCAAGGGCCTCGCCAGTGCTCGAGGGAGAAACCCAGAAACGCCGCTCAGCAAAACATGCAAACGCTGTCAAAACATGTCGCTATCCAAATGGTCCCTTTGTTTTTCGGTTGAGAGTCTAGTGAGCTCGGCATGTCGCTCAGAATCAACACTCAAAAGAGCGGATATCCGCACCAACTTATGGTTGGGACTGTCAGTGTCCCTGACTAGCCCCCACCCGGGTTTTGATTGCCCCGCCTCTTCCTGTTCGGCCGCTGGCTTGTCAGGAACCTTGACTGGGAGGCAAACCAACATTTGGCGCGTGGAGCGTTGTCAAAATGAACTCTTTTGGTGCTTTTTCGGGAACCAAAGGGAAAAAATAGCCCCCCTAACCAAGAAACACCACATAGGCGTCCACCCTTTGCGGGCCTGCTTTTGCCACCCCCAACT